AAAGCACATTAAAAAATGGAAAGACATTTCATGTTCATGGATTGGTAGAATTAATATTGTGATAATGACCATACTACCAAAAGCAATCTACAGATACAATGCAATCCCTCTCAAAATACCAATAGCATTCTCCACAGAAATAGAAAAAAAAAAAATCCTAAAATTTGTATGGAACTGCAAATCACCCCAAATAGCCAAAACAATCCTGAACAAAAAGAACAAAGCTGGAGCCATCATACTACCAGGCTTCAAAATATACTACAAAGCTATAGCAACCAAAACAGCATTGTACTGGCATAAAAACAGAAAACAAACACATAGTTCAATGGAACAAAATAAGAACCCAGAAATAAATCTATGTGTTTACAGCCAACTAATTTTCAACAAAGGTGCCAAGAACACTCACTGGGGAAGGAATAGTTTCTTCAACAAATGGTGTTAGGAAAACTAGATATCCACGTGCAGAAAAATGAAACTAGACACTTATCTCTCACCATATAAAAAATAAAAATAAAGACTTACATGTAAGACCCAAAATGATGAAAACACTAGAAGAAAACATAAAGAAAATGCTTCCAGACGTTGCTCTGGGCAAAGATTTTATTGTAGAAAACATTTTCAAACTATTATCTGACAAGATAGCCAGAATACACAGGGAACTCAAACAACTGAACAGCAAAATACTAATCATAATAATTATTATTATTTGATTTTAAAATGGGTAAATGAGCTGAATACACATCTCTCAAAAGAAAACATACAAATGGCCAATGGATATATTTTTTAAACACTCAGCATCGCTAATCACCAGGGAGATGCAAATCAAAATCACAATGAGATATCATCTCACCCCAGTTAGAATGGCTATTACCAAGATTAAAAAAAAAAAAAAAAAAACAAGGTTGGGCTCAGTGGCTCTCGTCTGTAATCCCAGCACTTTGGGAGGCTGAGGTGGGCAGATGAGCTCGAGACCATCCTGGACAACATGGTGAAACCCCGTCTCTAATAAAAATACAAAAATTAGCTGGGTGTAGTGGCACGACTATAGTCCAAGCTACTCGGGAGGCTGAGGAGAATGGCGTGAATCCGGGAGGTGGAGGTTGCAGTGAGCCAAGATCACTCCACTGCACTCCAGCCTGGCAGCAGAGCAAGACTAGTCTCAAAAAAAAAAAATGCTGGTGAAAATGCAGAGAAAAGAAACTATTATACGCTGTTAGTGGGAATGTAAATTACGACAGCCATTATGGAAAACAGTATGTAGGTTCCTCAAAAAACTACAAAGAGATCTACCATATAATCCAGGAATTCCGCTACTGGGTATAGCCAAAGAAAAGGGAATCAGTATGTCAAAGAGATTATCTGCACTCCCATGTTTATTGCAGCACTACTCATAATGGCCAAGACATGGAATCTATTTGTGTCTACCAACAGATGAATGGATAAAGAAAATATGTTACATCTACATAATGAAATACTATTGAACCATAAAAAGAACAAAAGCCTGTCATTCAGGGGAATATGGATGTGCCTGGAGGACATTATGTTAAGTGAAATAAGCCAGACACAGAAAGACAAATACCGAATGTTTTCATTCATATGTAAAATCTAAAAATGTTGATTTCACAGAGGTAGAGAGTAGAATAGTAGAATAGTGATTCCTAAAGGTAGGGAAGGGGACCTAGGTCAGGGGAGGTGGGGGGTAGTGGGAATAGCCAAAGGTTGGTTAACAGATATCAAAGTAGAGCTAGACAGGAGGAATAAGTTGAGTTCTAAAGCACTACAGGGTGACCATAATTAACAACAATTTGTTGTCTATTTTCAGATAGCTAGAAAAGTGAATTTTGAATGTTCCTAACATAAAGAAATGATAAATGTTTAAAGTGATGGAATGCTAATTGTCATGATTTGATCTTCACACGTTGTATACACGTATCAAAAATATCATACTGTGCCAGGTGCCAGGGCTCATGCCTGTAACCCCAATACTTTGGGAGGCTGAGGCAGGTGTGGTGGTGGGCGCCTGTAATCCCAGCTACCGTGGAGGTAGAGACAGGAGAATTGCTTGAACCCAGCGGGCAAAGGTTGCAGTGAGCTGAGATGGCACCACTGTACTCCATCCTGGGCTACAGAGCAAGATTTCATCTGGAAACAAAAAATCACACTGTACCCCATAAATATGTACAATTAATTATGTGTCAACTAAAAATAATAAAACAATAAACATTTTAAAAGTAAGACCAAAAAAGGAAGATTGCCTTCAAAGTAGAAGCAATAACTTACTTCTCCACAACTGAAGGCCAGAACACTGAAAGATATCTTCAAAGTCCTGAATTAAAATAATTGCCAATTCAGGCCGGGCGCGGTGGCTCAAGCCTGTAATCCCAGCACTGTGGGAGGCCGAGGCGGGTGGATCAC